TTCTAGTCTTAATTATAAAATCTTCCCAAACTAGACCAATGCTGTTATTTAATGAATGAATGATGTACGTACAAACGAATGAAGCTTTCTCTATTTTGTTTGAATGAATGTATCTTGTGGCTAATGCATTATTTAAAAAACCAAATTCTAACCTTATATTATATTCTTTACTACCAAAAATAGTTTCAAATTCAATACTGGTAGTATCAATTTTCCAGGTTCCTCTGAACTGCTATCTAGGACGGTAATACAAAACAAATACTTTATGGATAACTACTTTATACTTTTATTTTTTAACGTCTTACAGCTACAACACAGCTGGGTGTCCTAAAACTATTTAAAACAATCAGTCTAAGTATAAGCAACCCTTTAATGAACATGCTACACCTTACTCCAGAATTTCTCTATAAGGAAATACTAGAGCATGAAAAACAAATTTATAGTTATTTCCCCACCTTGTGTGATTTGCAAAACTATTATTCAGTTTTCCTGTATGGATAGCCCAGGTAGTTCTGGGCAACAATTACTTTCCCTAAGGGAGAAAAACCTATTATGAAGATCAAAGCTGTTCCTCCAAATCTGGCAAGTGTTAGGTAGCTACGAAAAACAAAAACATTAACTGTCCCCATTTGCCGTTAAGTTCTTGCATGCTTAAGTATATAAAAAATAATGTTAAAACTTAATCTCTTACTAATGTTAATTGCTTTGTGGGTTCCATCTAACAGTAACCTCCACATCAACCCCCGTCCAAGACACACAGGTAAACTCATCTAGATGGTGGACTGGACATCACCACCAGGGATTCTTTATCATAATGAGCATGCTTCTATACACTAGTCACTGAAGCCATTAACAGATCACACTCTAAAGACAAACCACTTTCAAAACGTCTTAAATTCTGAAGGCTATGCCAATTTAGGCAAATCAAAGGACGGGCCAGCACTTCCATTCAAATATATCCTCTCCAATCCAACCAACTTCTCAAGCTCATGTGGACAAAACCCTGGACAGTACACATGATGAGGAATGGCTTTTCAGGGATAAGAACAAAAGGTTCCTCTGACAGCAATTAATCCTACATAGCAGAACACAAGCCCAAGAGTGAGACACACGGTAACAGCAAGGAAAGAAGAGTAGGACCTTCTGGGGGCAGCATTCTCTGGCCCAAATCCATATTGCTTCCAGGAGTTTGGCAACTACAACCTCCTTCCTTAAAAAAAGTTTTGTGGCCGTTGCTGTTACTTTGGGTACCAAAAAACAAAAAGATGTTAAATGACATATATTTTGTGTACTGCAGGAAAGCTTAAAAACCTGGCATAAACTTTTCCTCAGCAACAATTTATAAATGTGGGAAGTTCCTTATTGTTATCCATCTTAAAAAGAACCAATTCCTCTTGAAATCTTATGAAAAGGTCTATTTAAAATGTAAATTGTACATAAAATTGATATGGTGTAACTTCTAATCTTGAGAACAATGATGAAAGCACACTTAAAATATGCACTCCAAATACTAAAAAGAACCTCATTCTACTGACAGCATTTTATCTGGACTAGGCTTACACAACGATAAAATATCCTGTTAGTTTTTTGCAACGAAAACAAAACAATCCCCAAACATATTTTTATGTTTCACTCATCAATTTTATAAAACAGAATCTGAAATGAACACTTCAGACCTTTGGTTAAACTATAATTTCCCTTAAATTATAGTAACTGTATGTCCAAATGGAAATGTAAAATACAGCATTTGTATGTACACAGGTACACAGATAAACAGTATTTTTTTCTTTATGGAACCCTATGTATTTACTACTTCTAACTAGCAATCTATGCATACTATACTTATGCAAAAGATCATAACCTGGAAGAGAAATTTTAGAGGTCTGTAAGTGCTCATTTACCCATGTGAAATACCATACCACTGAGGCATATCTCTATCCTTAATAAAGGCTCAAGAAACTGTGACTTAAAAACTTGTATACGAAAAAACGACAATGGTTCTTTTCCTTGGGAACTACTTATGAATGATGTTAATAATTATTAAACAATAATGAAAAATTGTTTTTTAAAAAAATTATTAACTCTTGATTGTCAAACACTAGTCATAAACTTCATTAAAGGATTTTAGAAAAATTGAGGAAAACAAATTTAGAGACAAAAAGGATCCAAATTAGCTCATAATCATAATTCTACTTAAAAAAAAATCAGTTTTGGTACTATCACATATTATACTCTCCAACTAAAGTAATAATGGAATTTTCTCCCAACAATGCAAGATCCAGAAGCAGCAATCCTGATCTTTCAAGCTACACTGATATATCCCAAGTCCTTCTAACAGTGCCTGGCACACAGTAGTCAGTATCTGTTGAATGAATGAACAAATGGGAGAACAGGTAGGAACAAGCAAAGCTATAGAGATCAAAGAGTTGACAATAAAAGATAAAGGTTGAACTGGTTAATCAGAATGTTAAGATAAGTAAGTGGATGTCAAATGTGAGCTATTCCACATTTTAGCAATAATCTGAAGTAGAAGAACTCAGACTCCAAGAACAGCAAACTTTTCCTAGAAAACTTGTTTTATAATATTATTTAAAATACTAAATAATTCTAAATTTTGCTTAAAAAATGGTCAGAACTGGTTTAGTAGGAAAACATTACGCACAAATACATAAACCAAGTTCATCGTTTAAGTACAGGGGAAAACGAGGTAGTCGACTGCATTAGTGCTCTTTGGTCGAAATATCTCACTTTGTAGTTTCTCACATTTACTTAGAAAGAAAAAAGCTTCAAAGATTCAAAATCCCTTCCAAACACTTAATTCCCCCGAGTATATCCCACGTATATTTACAGAAAGCAGGAAGTTTCCACACATTGGCATTAGTACTTGTTATTACGATCTCAGAAATCTAAATCAGGTGTATTCTTTTAAATTTTAAGAATTCAGAGAGGTCAAGCTCTTTGGGTAAGTTTCCTACTTAACTACGACAATTAATAGTCTTTCCTCGCTGCAAACCGCACTTCAGAAAAATCATGCTTTATAAAAAGTGAGTACAAACCCCTTCCCCCCCGCCCCCGCCCCGCTCATAGGATACGTCTACGAGTCTGAGGAAACCTAAGATACTTCTCTAGTTTTATTGTTTTAAAACCTTCTGTTCAATTGTTAGTTTGTCTATCTTGACAAATACGTGTTACTGTAGCGATATGGGCAAGTATGTCCATTTCTCTGTTACAACAATACATTTTAATTGCTTGCCATTCACTATCTGAATCAGAACATCCAAAGTTACACCCTACATACTAAACACCGCCAGCGGACGACTCCACGTAAGGCTGAAAAAGAAAGTTTCTAAACAGAGTATGTTTGCTGTCACTAAAACCTAAAGAGTAAAGCGATCCAGGGTGTTGACTACCCATTTCTTTGGGCTTCCAGGACTTAGAAATGGAGAACTAGCTGTTCAATTTTTTACTGCTTGTTTCTCCTGACCCTCCTACGGGAGGAGAGGCAATTCCTGCACAAGAGTTTGTACGGTGCTTCGGAACCTTCCGGACGAAAGATGCTTTAAATACACCTGAGGTTTTTAGTGTATTACTACTGAGCATTACGTGGAACCACTGTCCCTGCGTCGGGGGTAGGCTGATGGCATAACGCTTCCTGAGGACCGGTGGGGGAGAGAGAAAGGACAGTCCCCTTCATCACCCGAAAGGTTCGGCTGGCCCTCTTGCAGGCTGGGTTATTTTGTGAAACCACAGCGAAACCACACGTGAAAAGTTACACACAGGCCCCATACAAGGAGAACTTCGATAGTCCCCATCCCCGCAGGTCTGGGAGTCCCGGGAACTGAGAGGGGAGAGGAGCACTAGGGGTCGGGGATACACCCCAGTAACGTGGAGAGGTGCAGGGGCCGGCGAAGGGGTCCCAGCCACAACCGACGCCCGCGGGGCGGCTGGAGGAGCAGTTCCGGGCGGGGGCGCGGCACCCGGCACCGGGAACGGCCAGGCCCCGGAGGGCGGCCGCGCAGGGGCCCCGCGCCGCCCCGTTGCCGGGAAGGCTCGCGCCCCGCGGCCGGCGGCGTGGGGGAGGGGAGGCAGGGCCTGCGGCCTGTTAGGGGAGTTCAGCCCCGGCCTAGCGTGCGGCTCTCGGCCGGTTCCCCGGCCCCGGGGTCCCGGGTGCCGAGTAGAGACTCACCGGAAAGGCCCGGATCCGCATTTTGGTGTCCTTCCGGCTGCCCGTGCCTTTGCTCAGATTCGACATGGTGCCCGAACCCTCCCGGCCGCGGCTTTGGGTCGCTCTCCGAGGCGCCGGTGTCACATTTAAGGCGGGCGGGCAGGCGAGGGGCGACGCTGGGGGCGGCGGCGCGGCCCCCGGGTTGGGCTGGGGAGCTGGCCGGCCCCTGGACGGCCGCGGCGGGGGCGGCGGCGGCTCAGGCTCCGGCGGCCAAGGTTCGTTTGGGGGGGGTGCTGCGCTGGCGCGGCTGCTCCGCGGGGTCCCCTCACGTCCGACTCAGCTCCCTTTATCGCGCTCCTCCGCGATGGCGGCGGCGGCGGCGACGGACAAACATCTCACTGCGCAAGCCGAACGTCCTCCTCCTCCTTCTCCTCCTCCGCCTCAGCGAGACGAGATCCGGCCCAGAGGGTGGAGGGGGTGGAGGGAGGGAGGAGAGCCGGAGAGTGGAGAGATTGGGGGGAGGGAGGTGGGAGGACGGGAGGAGGCGGCGGACGGCCGCCGCGTTGGGGAAGGGACGCTCAAATCTCGCGAGAAGAGGACTAGCGCGCTACCCCAGGTAAGGCGGGGCGAAGACGGGGAGCGGGAGGGGGGAGTGGGGAGTTGGGAAGGTGGGAGGGACCAGCAGGGCGGAGATGTGGGGAAAGGGGCGGGGCTGAGGGCGGGAGGAGTAAATTGCCTATTTGAAAGGGGAGCGTCGGGGACCGGGTTCTGAACGGAGGTAGTTGCTGATTGGTGGAGTCGGTTTGTGGTTCTTGGTCACGTGGACCCAGTGGGCGGGGGAAGTTTGGAGAGCCCTAGCCGGATGGTAAAGGGCCGGGTCTCGCTGAGCTGGGCCAGGGAGGGGGCAGGGGCTGGCGTTGGGGCGGGAGGATAGTCTCCGGAGGAGCGTGGGGTGCAAGGTGGATAACTACGTCCTAGAACTGGTTCCTCTGTTTTTCTAGGGCATGTGGACTAGTAGGAATGGATACTTGAGCAGAAGCCAGCAAGTTGAAAGAAGAGTTTGTGCAGGAGTCACCTGCAGTGTCAAATTAGGGTCCCGTATGCTTAACAATGTATTCGGATTGGATGTGCACACCCCAACTCCAAGACAGTGGGGTGGAGATTCTAATCCACAAAATTTCCTTAAACTGTTCCGGGGCCTCTTCAATCGCTGATACTCTCTGAGGGACCCAGGACTTTTTAGTCTTAAAATTTATTTTCCTTACCATTGAAATAAAATGACAGATCCCAAAATGTAGTGCAATGTTTTGGTAAATGGTGTTACATAGAAGATAAGATGATAGAAACCTATTTTTAACCATTTAACCACTACCAAGAGTATTATAGCTTTTGAAAGACAAAAATATTGTTTTTGATTCAATTTACTGAAAATTTGGTAGTTATTTTTTTCATTGTGGTCAAAACGTCTAATTTGATTTATCAGTCATGGATTTTACTTTCTAATTTGCCACTCTGCCCCAATGATGTTTTATTTGCAGTTCTGACACTGCAGAGAAATATGTGAGTTCTCACTAAAGTTTGTGATCTCTTTTTAAGTAAGAACTTACTGTTGGGATGGGTATCTACATTTGGAAGCTGCGGAGAGATAGATGATAGATAGATAGATAGATAGATAGATAGATAGATAGATAGATAGATAGATAGATATTGAAATACAAATGTTTAGTAGTTGAATTTGCCCTAAATTAACTTAATCCTAATGACCATATTTGAGTGTATGCTTTCATCTCCTATTTGGTTGAAATGCCCCATTTGAAAATATGTTTTCTTGTTTTGTTTTTCAGTACTTGCTAATCAAAACAAGAGCTTAAGAAATGAGGATGTTGCTTGAAGTAATATCTGTGTAAACACTGAAGCTAAAAATAGGTCATCAAGAACTGGGTTGATAAGGTAAGATTGGGAGGGACTCCAATTTAAATATAAGATAATATGAGTCTTGGATAGGAGTTTATAATGTATGGTGATTGAACCTCCATTTGTATGGTCATGAGAATACAACAACCAATGATTTTTTTTAAATTGACTGTAATGTCATATGGCCCAGTTTCTTAATATAAGAATGTACAGGTATGTTCAGGAGCCATTCGTTTGATTCCTAGCTCTACCAACTTACTCACTGTATTTTATGTCTTTTGGAGCAAAGACTTCTGTGCTTGGAGCTCCTCATCTGTAATGTAGGGATAATAATACGTCCTTCTTGGGCTGCTATGAAATTTAAATGAATTAATACATTTCAAAAAGCCTGAGAACAATGCTCAACACAGAGTAGCCACTCAACACCTGTTGTCTATTATTATCATAGATAATTAAGGCCAATGTTATACTATCTTCCTTTACTCAATATGTAAGTTTCTAAAAAGAAATATTTCTATGCTTTTATAAAAATGAATTTTATTTTAAAAGTGGAGCTAGTCTCCAACACTTGGATTTAGCAAACCAATAAAATACTTTCAAAAACCTGGGGAACCAATATAGGTTCCCCAATTTATTTTGGCAAATAAGGGCTTTAAAAAGGAATAACTAGCACAAACTAGGTCCATTATCTTTTTTTTTTTTTTTTTTTTTTAGTATTTTAACCACATGAATGGGGAAAGGTCAATTTTGAATAATGGACAGTGTCTTAAATTGATATTGACACTGAGCTGATATTTCTCATTCCACTGTGAACCTGAGAAATTGTCATGGGACAACATTGAGGAACCCTCTACAGTAAGACATGTTTCCAGGTAATTGTGATGCTTATAATCACCCTTTAATTTATTTGTTTTGTGAACACAGATTTTTTTATATGTTGATTTTGTTTAAGCGAAATTTGACTGCATTTAAAAGAATCACTCTCAACTATGTCTTCTGTTAGGCTTTTAGTCACAAAGACCCAGAAAAACTCTTTAAAATGAATTCATCTGCCACTGCCATCAAGAAATTTCCTGCTCATTTATTTGTCCAGTTATCTCTTCATTTATTCAAAAAATATTCATTGAATGGCTGCTTTAGACCTGGCACAAAGGTGAATAAGACAGCTGAGACCATCCATCACAGACTACATAGCTCTTTTTCACGTCTCAAAATTTGGAAACCACAGACCCAAGTTGGATTTAGCAACAACTGCTTATATATTCCAGTCCAGAAATCAGAGATTTTTTTCTTCCTAAGAGACCAGCATCCTCAAAATGTATGTGAAATACTCTCTAAAGCAGCTGAGCAGACTCTTCTCCTATACCTAATGATACTCCAGACTTGTAACTAGCAATTAACTTTCAGGATATTAGTTTTTCCGTCAATTGCCACCTGATCTAGCAGAGAAAGCAGTGTTGAAACTGGAACTCACTAGACGTTGCATGCCTGTGGGTTGGTATTCCCACTTCTGCTGACAGTGTCCTGACACAGGAAAACAGTGGCCCCATTTCCATCTATTTGTATGGCACACATGCAGTCAAAGCTGGAAGGCTGAATGCGCCAGCCCCTGTTCTGCATCTCAGTCTAGAATTGGAAATTACGCTCTGTGAGAAGCCAGTAAAAGGGAATAGCCTCTTCTTCAGCATGAGTTTCTAGATATCCAGGATACCAAGCCACTTTAATCACTGTATCAGACCAGCTGATTTGGTTGTGCTAATATTGGTTATTAAAACAGCTGGTGGCCTACCAATTCACTTAGAAAAACCTGTTCAAAGGTTTTGAATGGATTAAGACTGTGTTAGGGAAAGATGTATGTTTTTCAAATTGGAAGGGGAAGATCTATAGATATCACTTCTCTGAAAGTAAGGGCTAGATTTTCTGTTCTCTTACTTATCTCCACAAAGCAACTAATAAGCATTGTAAGCCATTAGATTTGTATATATTTAAAGCAGTAACATTCTTATTCCATTGAAACATAACCATAGACACTTTTATACATATATCGTCAAAACAAGGAGCATATGAGACACAAGAACAGATGAGACAGGTTACATCTTGAATTAAAGAAAAATTTCAAAATGCCTGTTATAAAAAGCCATCTCCATTTTTCATCACATTGTCATGCTGAATAAAATCAACTCATTGGCAGCCCTGGAAACTTTCTAGTTGGCCTGGTCAGTGTTCTATTTATTCCCCATTTTTCTAGTAAATTAATAATTTTGAAATAAAAATATCTATATATACAACCAAATAACCTAATTTCACACAACACAAATTCTCAGTTGAAAATTAGAGGCATTGCATCCGTGTCATTTTATTTTGAAGAAAAAGAATTTCCTTTTATTGATAACAGTGACTGTATCAAGAAATTCTCCAGGGGACAATTACAAATACGTATTGCTTTCATTCATGATGAGGAAAGTGTATGTTGACTTAAGTCATCAGCTCTGTCTTTATGAAGTAAATTAATTTTGGGGTTGAGATAAAGCATAGTTCCAAAGAACTATGAAAGTAAAGAGTCGAAATTTTATGTTAGATTTAGTAATCATGTGAATTATGAATACAACAGTCAACAAATGTAATAAAACAGCATTATCTTTAAATTTCCATAAGGTATTTGTCTTTTGTACACAATAAAACTACTCTTTCTTATGTATGGAGCTAGTAAAAATCAAAATCTGATTAAAACAAGAGATTGCTGGTAGAGATTCAAAATAACCTTCAAAGACTAACAAATAAAAAAATGGTTGGGGCCAGTTTCTAGCCCAAAAGTGATATAATGAATAATTGTCTTGAGATAAGTTTTTTGTAGTTTCTGGTTTCTGAATCTTCTAGTTCTTGGGTGTCAGGTTATTGGGCAGAAGACCCCTTAAACGTGCAGTTCTAAGAGAGGTGCAACATGGGCACCTTGTTAGGATAAATCCAGCAACTGTATATCTAACCCAGTTAACAAACCATTTGTATGTATGATTTTATTAATTATTATAGCAACATTTGTCCTTTGCTGGGGCGTTACTCCCTTTTAGCACCCTGATTTCTTATTGTGAAGGGTTTTCCCATTCGTCGGTGGTGGTGAGTGGTGTCTACTTCCTATCACAGTGGCCAAGGGGCTCTGACCCCCAGCCCCCACCTCCCACTTCTCAGGTTGGCCTGGGGATGTATAATGCAGATTCAGGCAACCAGGCCCTCTCCTAGAAACTCTTGAGTATGTGGATAAAGGACACAGGGCCAGTTGGTGAGCATGTAGACAGTGGCTGTGGGTGGCCTCGGCTCTTCCCAGCAAGTGACTTTAGCTGGCATTCCTGCTCCTCAACTTTCCAGCAGTCCTTTGATTCCTGCTTGTTCTCCCACCCTGATCCCCCCAACTCCCCTGATTTCCGTGACTCCAAACATGCCTTCCCCAAATTGCATTTTGCTTAAATTAGGCAAAGCTTGTTGCTGCTGTGTGTCAGTCAGGGCCCTGGCAGGAAACAGATGGCTCACTCAAACAGGGAGTCGAAGGTAACTTTAGTGCAGGGACTGTTTACAGAAGTGTGGGCAGAGTTAGGGAGTGATCAGGAACGAGGAAGCACCCCGGACTAGCTACAGCAGGGAGCCTTGGAGCGCTTCGAGGCTACAAGGCCCGAGAGTAGAAGTGGCCATCAGAACCTGGAGAGAAAATTCTCTCTGTAGCTATAGGAGAGGGCTGTCTGACAACTGAGGGCTTAGGAGAGGACCCAAACTGCTGGCTCTGTGTGGAGGCAGCCAGGGGACAAAATACCTTGGCCTCACCCTCTTCCTATCTTCAGACTTCTGGCGGGTGCCTCCCAACGGACGAAGCTAAATGAGAACCAGGAGGCAAAGGAGCTCTTGATGGAGCTCATGAGGGTCAGCCTTCCAAGACCCAGAGCAATGTGAAGGGTGGAGCATAGCTCTAGAGGGGCAAATAAGGACTATCCGTGCAGAGTGCTTGTGAACAAGACTTGGACTGGTGAAGGTAAGATATACTCATATGTTATCTCTTAAAAGCCCCCTTGTATTATTACAGAGTCTTTGCACTGAAGGATGGTGGCTTGCTGAGCAGGTAAATGGAGGCTGATGCCCAAGGCATGTGTCTAACAAGTGCTGTCAACACTTGAAGGATGGAGCACCTGTTTCCTTGATCAAAGATGCCAACTGCCTTGGAAGCTGTGAAGCTGTGAGGCTGGATTTCTCCAGGGGGTAGGCCAGGCCCTTTGGCTGTTTTTATTTGCAACCATCATATAGGGCAGCAGTCAGTCACTGGCTGTGCTTTGCCAGGACACTAATATTTTAAACTCTGAAATAATGGAGCCTCATGGTAAAGAGTGCCAGCTATGAATGAGACAACCTGGATCCTAATATGAGTTCTACAATGTATCAAGTGAGCCCCATTTATTCTCATGGCTAAAATTAGGTTAATAGTTGCTTCAACTTCACAAGGCCAGTGTGAGAATTAAGTGAAACAATGTAGCTAAAATATGTAGCCCATCTATCCTATAGTCTGAACTCCAGGAATATTATCTATTTTGTGATTAATTTCTAATTCCATTTTTGACCTTTATTTGTGCAGCCCCCATAGCATCCTATTTTGCTTGACCTATTTCTCAATGCCCAGTCCCATCACCCCTTACATGGTGGCTTCCCTGTCACCTGTATCCGGTATCTACACTTCTGTGCTCTCAATCACGTTGCTTTCCTATCAGCACTCATCTTCCCTATAACTTTTGCTTCTCTAGGCCTGTTTACTAGCTGTCTCTTACCAATGGAGGAAGGTCCCAAATCACCTATCCGGCCAGCGAGGCCCGGGAACAGGAAGGCTTCTAAAAACAACTGATAAGAACCAGTGATGGGAACTCTGCTTTGACTTTCAATCCAGGTCAGAATCTTCCCCAAGCTTTAAAACACTAAGACACCTCCTCTGTACGTTGGTGTCACCACAATTCTCGGATTGACACTTTAAACCTGGTATGCTGCTTGTAAGGGTAAGCAATGGACTTTTAAAAATAAACACACAAAATGCGGTATCCCAACGGTCACTTCTCATGATTTTTATTGTATTGTTTCTTTCTGAAACACACAAATTATAAACTCGGACTACGGAACGTGTGTGGTCCGGTTCCTGATCGGCGCTCGTCCTTCCCCTCTGCCCTGTCCTGCACGCGAGGGCGGCAAAGCTGGACCTTACGTCGTTACAGTAACTGAAAAACAGTGAGTCTCACTGTTAGTGTTAAATGCACGCCAAATTCAGTGTAGCCTTAAAATTTTGATTAAATATGTGATGCTATATAACCTGAAGTAATTTTTAGATCTACTGATATGAAAGAAGTCCATTTTATAATATTGTTCAGACTTTTAGAAGCAAAAGAAACTGGCTCTATGGGTCTAGTTTGATCAATTCACTTGCCATCAATTTTTGGTGAATTTACGTGGCTACCACTTAACATTACACTAACCAGTAATACATGGTAACAAGTGACCATGGGTAGGGATAAAGAAGAATTAGAAATTTCTTGACTCTAAGCAATTTCACTTGTTAAAACAAGGCAGCAGATTCTCCTCTGTATCTATACCTGGCATGTAATTTGAACTCAAAGAATATTAGCAATTATCATATGGTGGTATCAGAACAATCAAGTATACAAGCAGCTCAAGAAATATGCGAAATTAATAACTCTTAACAATGAAGGTTGTCCATAAAAATAGTGTATCTG